AGGGGCCCTCATGTCTGTATGGGGGATTGGGGGCTCATGTCAGCATCGGGGCTTTCTAGGAACCCTTGTATCTGTGTTGGGGTTTCCAGGGACCCTCATTTCTATATCAGGGTTTCTGGGGTCCCTCATGTCTGTTGTGGGTTGCAGGGACCCTCATGTATCGGGGGGTCCCATGATCCTCATATTAGTATGAAGGGTTCTGGTGATCCCAATGTCTGTATCAGGGATTTGGGGCCCCTTATGTCTGTGTCAGGGACTAATATGAGGATGACGGGACCACCGATACATGAGTGTCCCTGGAACCCACGACACAGACATGAGGGACCCCAGAAACTGTGATATAGACATGAGGGTCCCTGGAAACCCCAACACAGATACAAGGGTCCCTAGAAAGCCCTGATGATGACATGAGGGGCCCCTAAACCCTGACACAGATACAAAGGTCCCTAAAAAGCCCAGATGCAGACATGAGGGGCCCCCAATCCCTGATACAGACATTGGGATCGCTGGAACCCTTTATACTAATATGAGGATCCCCAAAACCTTGGATACAGACACGAGGGGGGGCCCCCAATCCCAGATACAGACATGAGGGAAGTTGTCCGCCCGCACTCAGAAGCCAGCGCTTTGTTCTGCGCATGTCCGGAAGTCGCTTTGTTGCCGGAAATTCCCGCTGAGGCTGATCCGCGATCCCGCCCATAGAGGCAACCGAACCTTCCCCATCCCCCTACCATAGAGAGCCGTCTAGCCGGTCCATTTCTCTCTGGTAGTTGCATGCTGTTGGCTCGCCTCCCTCTGCTGGCGGGATGCCGGTACTTCACCTCCCCTCTGTTCACTCGGATCCCGGAAAGTAAAAATAACAATTTCAGATAACACTTTTTCTTTTTTTTTTTTTAAGGTTTATTAGAAAAAAGAAAATAAAGTTACACTAAAACGCCTAAAGTCACCCCAAAACCATTTCTGAGCCCCCCTCACCCCCACATACACATGTGCACACACGCGTCAAGGGCGCCTACGCACGAAAACAGCGATTTCACACCGCACACGTTACATCGTGAGGAAAAAATACGGCGATTTGTGACATTTGATGCGCCCTAAATTTCATCTTAAAGCATTTTTACTGACATTTTTACATTTCTCAAACCGCCGCGCTAATATCGTGCGACGTAAAACCTTGTGACCTCCACCATTTTATTCTCCGGGGTCTCCGCTTTCAGAAAATATATCGTGTGTGGGGGGTGTGACGTCATTTTCACATCTTAAACTATTTATTTTTAAATCTGTCTGCAAAAAAACCCACAAAATTTGCTCCGGCAGTGAGAGGGTTAAGGTTTCTCCACTGTGGTCACATGACGCCTGTGACATGGACATGTGACTCCTGTGACGTCACAGTGCAGTGCAGGGTATAGGACGGAGCGCCCCCCTAGCAGACTCAATTGTGATTTGCACTTCAACAGGTAAGGTAACATTTTTTTCTCTCCTATTGATCCAATCTGATTGTGGCCTGCTGGGGTTAAGGTCTTCATGTTATATATCCATTTTGTCTCATTTTGTGCGACCACTCTTTTTTTATTTGATCCTCGCCAGTTGTTCTCTATGACCTCTATACCCACAATCTTCAGGGATGAAGGATCTCTTCCATGATGGTATCGATAATGTTTGGATAGTGATTGACTCCACCTCCCCTGCTGCCCTCTCCTATGGAGGCCTCGTCTGGACCCATTCAACCAGACCGAGCGGACGCAGAGGCGGAGGGGTCGGTATACTCCTACCACCGCTGAGCACCTTCCAGGTCCTCCCTAACCCCCCTCCCTATCCTCCTCCTTCGAGGCCCACTGCATCCGGCTCTTCTCCCCCACCCCCCTACGGATTGCGGTAATCTATCGGCCTACTGGTTCCGCATCCCCCTTCCTTGACGACTTTGCCGCCTGGCTACCCTTCTTCCTCTCCTCCGAGCTACCAACCATCATACTAGGCGACTTCAATATCCCGATCAACGCCAACAGCCCGGCTACTTCCCAACTCCTCCTTCTAACCTCCTCCTTCGCACTCACACAGCACACTCAGTCCTCCACCCACTCCAACGGAAACACCCTGGACCTCGTTTTCTCCCACCTCTGCACCCCCCACGATTTCACCAACACCCCCTTCCACCTCTCTGACCATCACCTCCTCACATTCTCCTTCTCCCCCTCCCTCAACTCCCCCCCCACCCCCCGAAGCGTCTATCCATCATCCTCAACCTCCGCAATCTGAAACCGACCCATCTCCACCCAGCAGCTGACCGTCTGTATGACAGCATCCTCCCTCTGTCATGCCCTGACCTGGCCACCACTGCATACAACGGCTCACTGTCAGCTGCCCTTGACTCCCTGGCACCCCTAACCACACGTAGCATTAGACCCCGACCGCTTCAACCCTGGCAAAACGACCACACAAAATGCCTTAAACGACGCAGTCGCGCGCTGGAGCACTTATGGCGCAAAACCAGATCCCCTCCCGCGTTCTCCCTCTATAAAACCGCCTACCTCGCCTACACCTCCTCCCTCCACGCCACCAAGCAAGCCTATTTCATAACCCTGATCCGCACCCTCTCCACCTGTCCCCACCGGCTCTTCTCCACTTCCAAAACCCTGCTCTCTCCCCCTCCACCCCCACCCAGCACCTCACTCACCGCCCACGAGATTGCCACTCACTTCCAAAACAAGATTGACGCAATCCGTAAGGACATTGTCAACTCACAATCCACCTCTCCACCAAGCCTCCCGCCCTCCGTCAACCCCTCAACCCTCCCCTCTCCTGACCTCATAGCCGCACTACCCCCCACTATACCTAATGCCCCACACATCATCATCTCCCTAACACTCCGCTCCTTCAGCCCAACTACCCCCGAGGAGGTCTCTAAGGTCTTCACTGAAGCCCGCCTCACCACCTGCCCCCTGGACCCTATCCCCTCACAGCTCCTCCAGTCAGTCCCCCCCCCCCTCCATCATTCGCCTCTCACCCACATCTTCAATCTCTCCCTCTCCACTGGCATCTTCCCCTCCCCTCTAAAGCACGCACACATCACCCCCATACTCAAAAAACCCTCCCTTGACCCCACTAACCTTAACAACCTTAGACCCATCTCCTTGTTGCCCTTCACTTCCAAACTCCTTGAGCGCCTGGCCTACAACCGCCTAAGCGCCCACCTCACTGATAACAACCTCCTTGACCCCCTACAGTCTGGTTTCCGCCCCCTATACTCCACCGAAACCGCTCTACTTAAAATCACCAATGACCTGCTAACCGCCAAAGCCAATTGCCAGTATTCTATCCTCCTGCTCCTCGACCTCTCCGCGGCCTTCGACACTGTTGACCACCCCCTCCTCCTTACTAAACTGCACTCCCTTGGTATCAGGGACGCTGCTCTCTCCTGGTTCTCCTACCTCTCCCAACGCTGCTTCAGAGTCACCTACAACACTGCCACCTCCCCCCCTCTCCGTTGGGGTCCCCCAAGGCTCTGTCCTCGGGCCCCTCCTCTTCTCCATCTACACCTCCTCCCTTGGCAAACTTATTCACTCCCACGTCTTCAATTACCACCTCTATGCTGACGACACCCAAATCTATCTCTCCATCCCCCACCTCACCCCTTCAGTCTACGCCCGCATCGCCCACCTTCTAAACGACATATCACACTGGATGTCGCTCCATTTCCTCAAACTTAACCTATCCAAAACCGAGCTCCTGGTCTTCCCCCCACCCCGTGCCCCCCCCATCCTCTCCATCACTACTAACAACGCCACCATCTCTCCCACCCCACACGCCAAAAGTCCTGGGTGTCACCCTGGACTCCCACCTCTCCTTCCTACCCCACATCCAACTGCTATCTAGATCTTGTAGGCTCCACCTCTGCAACATCTCCAAGATACGCACATTCCTCACCCCAGACACCACCAAACAACTCGTACACTCCCTCATCATCTCACACCTGGACTACTGCAACTCCTTTCTCACTGGCCTACCAAAACAAACGCTATCCCCACTCCAGTCTATCCTGAACTCAGCGGCCAGACTCATCCACCTCACCAACCGCTCCACATCTGCCTCCCCCCTCTGCCAATCCCTTCACTGGCTCCCGATTGCCCAACGCATCAAATTCAAACTGCTAACCCTGACCTACAAAGCCATTCACAACGCCGCCCCGAACTACATAACTGACCTGATACCCAAATACCACCCTACCTGTGCCCTTCGCTCCTCTCAGGACCTCCTACTTTCTAGCTCCCTGGTCTCCTCCTCCCATCCTCCCACGCCCGATTACAGGACTTCTCCAGGACTTCCCCCATCCTCTGGAACTCCCTACCCCAATCCATCAGACTGTCACCTACCCTCCTCACCTTCAGACGCACCCTGAAAACCCTCCTCTTCAGGGAAGCCTACCCCAACCTCACCTAACACCCGACCTCACCTAACAACTAACCTCCTCCACTCCTCCCACCACTCCATCCTCCACAGCCATCTCCTCCTGTGCCACCTTCCCCTCCCTCCTAGATTGTAAGCGCGAAAGATCAGGGCCCTCAAACCCCTCGTGTATTGTTACTGTCTCGTCTCATGTTCTGTCCCCCTTGCTATTGTACAGCGCTGAGCATACCCTTTGGCGCTATATAAATACTGTATAATAATAATAATTTCTGAACCCTCTCTTAACCACTCGCCTACCGGGCACTTATACCCCCTTCCTTACCAGGCCAATTTTCAGCTTTCAGCGCTGCCGCACTTTTATTGACAATTGCGCGGTCATGCAACATTGTACCCATATGAAATTTTGATAATTTTTTTCTCACAAATAGAGCTTTCTTTTGGTGGTATTTAATCGCCGCTGGGCGCTTTACTTTTTGCGCTATAAATAAAAAATTGCCAAAAATTTTGAAAAAAAAAAAAGTTTATTTGTTTCTATTATAAAATTTTTCAAACAGGTAATTTTTCTCCTTCACTGATGTGCGTTGATGAGGCAGCACTGATGGGCACTGATAGGCAGCACTGATAGGCAGCACTAAAGGGCACTGATAGGCAGCACTAATGAGGTGTCACGGATAGGCGGCACTAATATGCAGCACTGATAGGTGGCACTGATAGGTGACACTGATGATGGGTACTGATAGACGGCACTGACTGGCATCACTGCTGGGCACTGACTGGCACAACCGCTGGGCACTGACTGGTGGCACTGACTGGCAGCACTGCTGGGCTGCACTGGTGGGTGGGCACAGGTGGGTGGGCACAGGTAGGTGGCACTTCTGGGCACAGGTGTGACACTGCAGAGTGGCACAGGTGGGTGATCTGCTGGGCACAGGTGGGCGGAGCTAGTGAGCGCACTGCTGGGCACAGGTGGGCGGAACTTGCGGGTGGCACTGCTGGGCACCGATCATCAGGGCACTGATGATCGGTGCCGATCCCCGCTCTGACAACTGCCGGTTCTCGGCAGTACTTTCCTCACGATCTGACAGCGTGAGGAAAGTGCAGCCGAGAACCGGCACTTGCATTTCCCTCTGATCAGCGTGTCATTGGACACCGCTGATCACTTGGTAAAAGGCCGCTGTGATTGGCCTTTTACCACATCACGTGATCAGCTGTGTCCGTAGGACACAGCGATCACGGAGATCGCCGGGTGTGCGCCCCCTGGGGCACGCAGGAGAGTGCGTTCTGGGGGGACGTCATATGACGTCCACTCAGAACTGGCCGGCCGCAGTGCAGCCATCATTCGGCTACCTGCGGTCGGCTACTAGTTAATGTTGTATACATGTTCCCAGAAACGGTCCCTTAGTCTCCTTCCGGTGCAGCCTACGTACTGCTTGCGGCACGGACACTCGAGCAGATATACAGCGTAACGACTATCACATGTGATAAAGCTGGAAATTTCATGTTATCCCTGTTGTTGTGGACTTGAAGGACTCAATTTTCTTAAGGGGAAAATTACCCTGTTGACATATTGCACATTTCCGGCACGGATAAAAGCCTTTCATGGATTTTGAGTGCCATTAAGAAAAGGGTCCTGTGCAAGTTTGTAGCGGTGCGTTCCAGACTCGCCAGTGATAGAGATACGTTTTCACATAGGATTGCTATTGACAGGAGCTTTTGCATTGAAGTCAATGTAAGGCAGCATCCCCTGCAACAAAAAATGTTATCTTTGGGGAGATACTCCCAATGGGAAATCGCGTCTAAAGGGATTCAGACCCTGCCACTTCCCTCATTACAACCCTGCAAGTGCTGATTGATAATTAGAAAGTCATTAACTTCGCAGATGGACACAGATAAGCGCAGCACAAACTGTCGGCGCTATATACACATATATATACACACACACACATATATATATCCTGTATAATAATAATAATCAGTTATTTCTTTCTTCGGAATAACAAAAAGGTAGGAATCTGCAACAAAGCTTGTTAAAATCCCTGCAGTGTACATTGATCACCCGGGGGGGAGGGGTTTTTCAACAAAAATGGAGTTACTTTTTAAAACACTTCACAGGTATTTGAAGAAAAAAATAAACGCCAATACTCTCTAGATAAAATTTCTAACGACTAATGATAAAACTTGTCATTAGTGAACCACTGATATATTGGCTGAGACACAAATTAGCGGCCAAAAGGAGGGTTATCGGCTTTTTAACAATTAAAAAAAAAAAAAAAAGTGCTAATAGTGATAACTGGTTTCAATACAAAATCGCGTCCCATTGATGTCAATGGAACATTTCATTGTCTGTCCATTTTTTTGGGTTACAGTCAATAAAAAAAAAAAAAGTTATTTTATGTTACTGGATTGTGGTTTTTTTTTTTTAAATTCATATTAATAAATTCATGATATTAATTAGAAAGTCAAATATAAAACAATTTTTTATATGTATATTTTCTACATAATTGTATTATATTTTACTTTTTAATTAATATCATGAATATGAGTTTAAAAAAATACAATCCGGCAACATAAAATACTTGGCTGAAAACGGAAAGGGACAGTTTAAAAAAAAAAAAAAAAAATTATATAATATATATATACATATATATATATACACATACATATATATATATATATATATATTTTTTTTTTTTTTTTTTTAACTGTCCCTTTCCGTTTTCAGCCAAGTATTTTATGTTGCCGGATTGTATTTTTTTAAACTCATATTCATGATATTAATTAAAAAGTAAAATATAATACAATTACAGTCAGGTCCATAAATATTGGGACATGGACACAATTCTAACATTTGTGGCTCTATACACCACCACAATGGATTTGAAATGAAATGAACAAGATGTGCTTTAACTGCAGACTGTCAGCTTTAATTTGAGGGTATTTACATCCAAATCAGGTGAACGGTATAGGAATTACAACAGTTTGCATATGTGCCTCCCACTTGTTAAGGGACCAAAAGTAATGGGACAATTGGCTTCTCAGCTGTTCCATGGCCAGGTGTGTGTTATTCCCTCATTATCCCAATTACAATGAGCAGATAAAAGGTCCAGAGTTCATTTCAAGTGTGCTATTTGCATTTGGAATCTGTTGCTGTCAACTCTCAAGATGAGATCCAAAGAGCTGTCACTATCAGTGAAGCCATCATTAGGCTGAAAAAACAAAACAAACCCATCAGAGAGATAGCAAAAACATTAGGCGTGGCCAAAACAACTGTTTGGAACATTCTTAAAAAGAAGGAACGCACCGGTGAGCTCAGCAACACCAAAAGACCCGGAAGACCACGGAAAACAACTGTGGTGGATGAGCGAAGAATTCTTTCCCTGGTGAAGAAAACACCCTTCACAACAGTTGGCCAGATCAAGAACACTCTCCAGGAGGTAGGTGTATGTGTGTCAAAGTCACCAATCAAGAGAAGACTTCACCAGAGTGAATACAGAGGGTTCACCACAAGATGGAAACCATTGGTGAGCCTCAAACACAGGAAGGCCAGATTAGAGTTTGCCAAACGACATGTAAAAAAGCCTTCACAGTTCTGGAACAACATCCTATGGACAGATGAGACCGACATCAACTTGTACCAGAGTGATGGGAAGAGAAGAGTATGGAGAAGGAACTGCTCATGATCCTCAGCATACCACCTCATCAGTGATCATGGTGGTGGTAGTGTCATGGCGTGGGCATGTATGGCTGCCAATGGAACTGCTTCTCTTGTATTTATTGATGATGTGACGGCTGACAGAAGCAGCCGGATGAATTGTGAAGTGTTTCGGGAATATTATCGGCTCATATTCAGCCAAATGCTTCACAACTCATTGGACGCTTCACAGTGCAGATGGACAATGACCCAAAGCAGACTGCAAAAGCAACCAAAGAAGTGGAATGTTCTGCAATGGCCAAGTCCATCACCTGACCTGAATCCGATTGAGCATTTCACTTGCTGAAGACAAAACTGAAGGGAAAATGCCCCAAGAACAAGCAGGAACTGAAGACAGTTGCAGTAGAGGCCTGGCAGAGCATCACCAGGGATGACACCCAGCGTCTGCTGATGTCTATGCGTTCCACACTTCAGGCTGTCATTGACTGCAAAGGATTTGTAACCAAGTATTAAAAAGTGAAAGTTTGATTTATGATTATTATTCTGTCCCATTACTTTTGGTCCCTTAACAAGTGGGAGGCACATATACAAACTGTTGTAATTCCTACACCGTTCACCTGATTTGGATGTAAATACCCTCATATTAAAGCTGACAGTCTGCAGTTAAAGCACATCTTGTCCGTTTCATTTCAAATCCATTGTGGTGTATAGAGCCAAAAATGTTAGAATTGTGTCCATGTCCCAATATTTATGAACCTGACTGTATATACTGTATAATAATAATAATCAGTTATTTCTTTCTTTGGAATAACAAAAAGGTAGGAATCTGCAACAAAACTTGTTAAAATCCCTGCAATGTATATTGATCACCCGGGGGGGGGAGGCGTTTTTTAACAAAAATGGAGTTACTTTTTAAAACACTTCACAGGTATTTGAAGAAAAAAAGAAAGAAACTCCAATACTCTCTAGATAAAATTTCTAACGACTAAAGATAAAACTTGTCATTAGTGAACCACTGATATATTGGCTGAGACACAAATTAGCGGCCAAAAGGAGGGTTATCGGCTTTTTAACAATTAAAAAAAAAAAAAGTGCTGATAGTGATAACTGACTTCAATACAAAATCGCGTCCCATTGATGTCAATGGAACATTTCATTGTCTGTCCATTTTTTTTGTGTTACAGTCAATAAAAAAAAAAAGTTATTTTATGTTACTGGATTGTGGTTTTTTTTTTAAATTCATATTAATAAATTCATGATATTAATTAGCAAGTCAAATATAAAACAATTTTTTAATATATATATTTTCTACATAATTGTATTATATTTGACTTTTTAATTAATATCATGAATATGAGTTTAAAAAAAATACAATCCGGCAACATAAAATACTTGGCTGAAAACGGAAAGGGACAGTTTAAAAAAAATAAATAAATAAATAATTATATATAATTTTTTTTTTTTTAAAACTGTCCCTTTCCGTTTTCAGCCAAGTATTTTATGTTGCCGGATTGTATTTTTTTTAAACTCATATTCATGATATTAATTAAAAAGTCAAATATAATACAATTATGTATTAACAAAATTATATTTTTTTTAAAAAAACTGTCAATTTCAGTTTTCAGCCAAGTGCACCCTGAATTTTCAGTTTCGGGCCAGAATTTTTATTTCAGTGCACCACTACTTATTCTTCAATATTCACTAAAAATGGCCGAATGTATTGTGGGCGTTTCCCCTCCAAATGATGGTGGTCATGTGATGTCAGAGAAGGGCGCTCTCACAGTGTTAGAAGTACGTGTTAGTACTCTGCCTTGTTCTGTGATGCGGTTGCCGAGTTGGTTTGTTCCACAGTACACCCCACCACTTTTTGACCATGCTGCTCAGCGGGAGATGAAGAATAAGGTGTAACCGACACCTCCCACCTCTGTCAGCAGTGCATACTGGATATGAGCGCCATCAATTGCTCCACCAATGGGAAGGGTCAGCTCGGATCATAACACAAGCAGAGAGCTGGTAAATGTAGGCGAGGAAGTGGTTGTGTGCTGCAGCTCCTCCCATAGGAAGGCCCTAAATTGGGCTTCAACAAGGAATGGAGCTGATGATATAAAGCTGTGCTTTTATTGCAGAACACAACCATGTCTGGGATATACAACGTCGGTTCTTACATTGCGGGGATATTTAAAACCCCTTCACGCCGACGCCTCCTGGCCCTTTAAGAGTTCCGGGAGGTGGGACGGGCGGGGTTTAGGGATCATGTGACCGCCGTGACGCTTATTAATTTGATCGGGAAAGGTCCCGATCGAAAGAGGAGACTGGGACCTTTCCGTGAGTACTGGACATGTGTGCTGGGATCACGCAGGGCGCGCGCTCTCAGCACATATGTTTTTGTATATTGAACGCAAATGTGCGCTGCTCGGCGTCTAGGCCCAGACGAGGGGAGGCCGCACATTTGTGTGCAGCCGGTGTAAAGGGTTTAATTAATACTAAAACATACAATGACATGTTAGACAAATATGGGCTTCCAACCTTGTGGAAAGTTTGGTGAGGAACCTTTTCTGTTCCACCATTACAGAACCCGTGTACATAGCCAGCTCCATAAATACATGGTTTTATTGTGGAGAAACTCGAGTGTCCTGCACAGAGCCCTTTTTTTTATAATATTATTTAGTTTACTGAACACCTTTGGGATGAATTGAATCCTCCATTGTTACCAAGGGCTTCTTTTTTTTCTTGAGTGCCCAATGTGGGGCCCAACATATGAGCTACTAGAAGAATGGAGCCGGCTCCACAAAGACAAGGTGTGGCTAGTTTGGTGTGGAGGAACTCGAGTTTCCTGCACAGAGCCCTTATCTCAACCTTACTGAACACATTGGAGATGAATTGGAACCAAAGGCTTTTTTTTTAATGGGGCCCAACAGATGAGCTACTAGAAGAGTGGAGCCAGGTCCATCAAGACTTGGTTTGACCAGTTAGGCATATAGAAAGCTTTTTTTTTAGATCGAGTGTCCTGCACAGAGCCCTGACCTCAACCCTACTGAACACCTTTGGGATGACCTGCAACCCCAATTGTAACCCAAGGGCTTTTTTTTTTATGGGGCCCAACATATGAGCTACCAGAAGAGTGGAGCCAGCTCCATAAAAACAAGGTAGGTATGACCAGTTTGTTTGTGGAGGAACTCGAATGTCCTGCAAAGCCCTGTTCTCAACCCTACTGAACACCTTTGGGATGAATTGGAACCCCAATTGTTAACCCAAGGGCTTTTTTTTTTAATGCCCCAACACATGAGCTACTAGAAGAGTGGAGCCAGCTTCCATAAAGACTCGGTTTTTTTTTTATCAGTTGGGCGTAGAAGATAGAGTTTCCTGCACAGAAGCCTGACCTCAACCCTTCTAAATACCTTTTGAGATTTTATTGGAACCCCCAATATTGTAACCAAGGACTTTTCTTTTATGGGGCCCAACATGAGCTACTACTAGAAGAATGGAGCCAGCTCCATAAAGACAAGGTGTATGTCCAGTTTGGTGTGGAGGAATCGAGTGTCCTGCCCAGAGCTCTGACCTCAATCCTACTGAACACCTTTTGAATTTTATAACAATGGTCATGAGGTCTTTTTTTGGTGCCCAATGTGGTGCTGATGTGTTATTTTCATCAAACATCAGTACCTGACCTAACAAATGAGCTCAAATTTCTTACGGATTGCTTTAAATTCTCATAGAAATCCTTCCAAGGATGATGGGGGGAGGTCAACTCTGTTAATTATATTGTAGAGTTGACCTCCCCCCACTGGAGGATGGGGGGAGGTCAACTCTGTTATATTGTAGAGCGCTGAGCAAACTTTTGGCGCCATTAATCCTATTTATAATAATAACTTTATAAACAGCCATGGGGGGAGGGGGGGCAGCTCCAGATTAATGGTCATGCATGTCCAATGAGCTCCTACAAGATTTTACAGATATGGGGTAGCACACTGGCTAAATGGCTAGTACTTCCACATGGTGAGTCCCAACCACGACACCACCTGCCTGGAGTCTGCATGTTCTCCCTGTTTTCCTGTTGTGGCTTTCCTCTGGGTTTTTCCAGTTTCCTCCCACACTTCCAAAGGCAGGTTACTTGGCTCCTGTCTAAATTGTCCCTAGTATGAATGTTTTCTAGTTAGGGACCTTAGCTTGTACGCTTTTCAGGGGCGGGGACTGATGGGAATGTACAAATATTTATACATAAAATGCTGTGTAAATTGATGGTACTTACCCTGTAATATAATTACAATAAAAATACAGATGTGATTAGGCCGGCCCCCGCAGACTTTTTCCTGTATATTTTAAACCCCCATTTTTTTTTTTTTTTTTTTTTTTTTTTTTTATGATTTTTTTTACTTTTAATGTAAAATGAAAACCAGAACAGCAGACAGCGATTATAATGACTTATTTGTCTCAGTTTTCCATTTTTAGAAACTTTTTAATATAATATTTTGAACGGGATCATTAACAGAGATTTGATCTCCACAACCTGCAAATCGTCCCAGATCTACCCCATTGCAAACATCCCACCCCCCCCGCCTTCAATATTTATACATGTCCCAGAGAGGAGCGCCGTTTTTTACGATCTTATTTAAAATAAAAATATGTGTAATTTTTAAAATACTGATTTATAATGTACCCACGTGGTGTAAAGCTATCTTTTTTTGAAATGGCGTGTTTTTTCCACATCGCTGTGGACCGGGTGTTGTCGCTCCTGAAAAGCACTGCATTTCTTTTTTATATAAGGTGACAAATGCAGGACATTTGTGACACATCTGGAGCTGAGTATATATGAATCATTTTTTAAAGGAAAACCAGAGTGGATTTTTTTTAATTTTTCATAGAAATAAATCCCCACTCCAGATTATAAAAAATAAAAATCAAACTAAAAAAAATTATTATAGATCTCTTAACCGCTGCTGCAAAAAACCTGGTTTTTGTTTTTTATTTTTTTTTCAATAACTTACAAAGAAAAACGTAAGAAAACTACTGAAAGAAAAAAAAAAAAACATAGAATTGCGCCACGGCGTCTGCATTTTCGTCCTTTTTGTTTAATTTGTATTGGTGATCCTCCAGACTCTACCACACCGGGGAAAAAACCCAATCTATGCCGTTACATTAAAAGAAACCTAAGGGGGTCAAGTCCACTGGCTGGCTTGTCCATGGGCAGTGTTGAGAGTCCTGATTGCGGCTCCTCAAGGGTAAAAGAGGTCAGTCCGTTTATGGGCAGCGTTTTTTATTTTACTTGGGCATCAGTTCATTGATCTTCCGGATGAAGTCAGAATTTTTTCGGCGCAGCCTTTGCAGGTCTCACCCCAGTCATCTAGGATCTTCTTCAATCCTTCACCTCAGCTTCTTCAGGTCCACCGTGCTCAGATCAATCTGCTTGTCTTTGAGGAAACACAGAGTCATCCTCGGCACAACAGGATATATATATTAATATATCTTTCCTTTTTTTTTTTTTTTTTTTTTTAAATAAAAAAATTTTTTATTTTTTTTTAAAAAAACAAAACAAACATTTAGTAAATCAAATTAATCTATCTACATACATAAATACTTTATTTTTTAAAAAAAATAAAAAAAATAATATATATTATATATTTTTTTTTTAATACAAAAACTTTTTTTGAAATCAATTAAAAATAAGTATATCATTTTTTTAAATTTTTAAGTTTTTGATAGAGATCTTCTCTATCTCTCTCATATTAATTAAAAAATAATATCTTTTTTTGTTTTTAATATGTATTTTTTTTTAGAAAATAAATAAAATATAATAAAAAAATAATAAGTGTGTTTAAATAAAATTCTTTTAAAGTTACAATGTACATTCTTGCAAAAAAAAAAAAAAAAAAAAAAAAAAGAAAAAAAAAAAGGAAATACATTTAGTAAATTATCTTAAAAAAAATCCCCATAAATAAATATATAACAGATACACACAATCACAAATAATATAAATATTTAAAAAAAAAAAAAAACTGTATATATATAATTACAAAAATAAAATTAAAAATACCCAAAAAAAAAAAGTGTGTGTAACACACACACAAACACAAATAATATATATAAAATAATACACTAAAAAAAAATTAATCAACATATACAAATACTTACACAACCCACACAAAAACAAAAAAAAAAAAAAAAATAAAAAAAAAAAAAAAAAACGTCCAAAAAAAAAAAAAAAACAAAAAATATATATATATAAATAAAACATATCTTTTTTTTTTTTTTTTACCCTCACATGATGCCTGCAGAGCAATACACCCATATCAGTGCACCATGAGTGCAAAAAAACACAGCTTTGTTGGGTTCTACCCCAAAGCCCCAGGTCCAAATGGAGATACAGACTCTTATGAGGCGCGCCCCCGTGCCCGTGCGGGGACACTGAACATCATCGCGGCTCAGTCATTCAAGCAGCCGCAGCCCACAAACCCGAAATGAAGATGGAAGCCCCGGCAAGTAGTGACAGCGTGCTGCTGGAGGGCTGTGTTTCATTGACATCTATCAAGAAGTTGCACCTTGTAGTCACACCGGGTCGGCTACGGCACATCCTCAGTGCGTCTATATATGCGGTGCGACTAACCCCCACCGACAACCAATGGGGTGGCTGCACATCCTGCTGTGAACAGCACAAAATGAGCTGTCAGCGCCTCAAATTAGAACAAAACCCTTGTTAGAACAGGGCTTGTGTGTAATATAAACAAAACAAAATGGAAGCATTCTACCAGCCCCCCCCCCCCCCAGGGTTCAGGGTCCTCATACAACCACGGACTGTGAATCTACTACAATGGTCTTCCTAAGGGTGACCCCTGCTGGCTGATATGGTGATGGTACAACCCTCTGCAATGCCCCCCGGGGTACACCCTGCCACCCACCTGAACCTCAACGTCACACCCGGGACCAGTGAGGTGACAAGTCGGACCTCCAGTGGTAATCCACTCACCATATTTCAGCTCACAGATCTGTCCGTCTTTCTTCTTCAGCCTCTCGCAGATCTTCTCTGGAGGAATGTGATTGCTGAGCGGCTTCGAGACCTCGTTGGTGATCTTCGTGGCGGCATCACTGGTGGCCCCAATATAGTAACACTGAGCAGGAGGAAACACGGAGCTCATCAATACACGTCTCTGGGGAGCCCCTTCCAGTCCTACACTCCCCCCCCCCCTTCCTGTCCGGACGGCCCCCCCCCCCCCTTCCAGTCCGGACACTCCCCCCCCCCCCCTTCCAGTCCGGACCCTTTCCCCCCCCCCCCCTTCCAGTCCGGACCCTTCCCCCCCCCCCTTCCAGTCCGGACCCTTTTCCCCCCCCCCCCCCCCCCTTCCAGTCCGGACCCTTTTAACACCCCCTTCCAGTCCGGACACTTTCCCCCCCTTCCAGTCCGGACACTTTCCCCCCCCTTCCAGTCCGGACACAACTTTTCCCTTTCCCCCCCCTTCCAGTCCGGACGCTTCCCCCCCCCCCCTTCCAGTCCGGACGCTTCCCCCCCCCCCCCACCCTTCCAGTCCGGACGCTCCCCCCCCCCCCCCCCCCCCCTTTCCATTCCGGACGCTTCCCCCCCCCCCCCATTCCAGTCCGGACGCTTCCCCCCCCCCCCCCCCCTTCCAGTCTGGACGCTCCCCCCCCTTCCAGTCTGGACGCTCCCCCCCCCTTCCAGTCTGGACGCTTCCCCCCCCTTCCAGTCTGGACGCTCCCCCCCCTTCCAGTCTGGACGCTCCCCCCCCCTTCCAGTCCGGACGCTTCTCCCCCCCCCCCTTCCAGTCCGGACGCTCCCCCCCCCTTCCACACACACATATACATACATACACACACGTGATTTCGTATTTCCAGGTAGGGGGTGCGCGCCCTACCCGCGCCACTATTCCCGGCCTCAGCTGTCAATCGCCGGGTCCCAGCCAGTGATTACTCTCGCCGGCACCCGGTGGTCGAGGAGCATGACCGATGGAGGGAGAGAGCTGTATGTAAACAAAACATTTCTCCTCCATATCAGCTCCAGCACGCTGCTTTGTATGGCTCTGCAGAGCAGCGTGCTTAGTGAAACACTCCCAGTGCACAGTTAACCCTTTGATGGCCCCAGACGTTAACCCCTACCTGCCCAGTGCCATTAGTACAGTGTCGGGGCTTTTTATTAGCACTGATCCCTGTATTGGTGTCACTGGGGGTGTCAGTTTCTATAAGTCGCTGATTGCTGCTATTACTAGTAAAAAAAAACAAATAAATTCCAGTATCTATACCGCCATTTGTAGACCGCCATCAGTGACACCAAGTCAGTCCCCCCCAGGTGACAGAATGCCCGCCGCAGTCCCGCTATAAGTCGCTGATTGCCGCCATTACTAGTAACAAAAAAAATCCCCGTATCTATCCCGCCATTTGCAGACGCTATAACTTTCACGTAAACCAATTAATTTCCACGTATCGGGATTTTTTTTTAGTGAAGACACGGAGCGGGAGACATTTTGGCCAAAATTTATGATGAAATTGGATTTTTTAAATATTTTTACTGGACGTGTTTAACCATTAGCCGCCCGGCCAAATGGCCGTTTGGCGGCTTCAGATGTGCTTCTCCATTCCGGGTGCACGCCATTTGGCATGCTCCCGCACATGCGCCGTTTGCGCTAATGCAGAGCGGCGCAGCAGTGCGATCTGTCACCGCCCGTGCACCTCGGACACGGCCGATGACAGATCCGAGTACCGGCTCCCGTTGTTGGTACCATGTGACCTGCTGTGACCAATCACAGCAGGTCACATGACAGTTGTATACAATGGATGGCTTCATTCATGATGCCATCCATTGTATACTAGTGCCTAGCTGTGAATGGTCACAGCTAATCCCATGCACATGTCATGTGATTAGCTGTGACCAAATCACAGCTAAGCACAAAAAAAAAAAAAAAAAAAAGCTGAATGAATCGATTTCATTCAGGTAAATTCTTGCTTATAGCAAAGTAATTCTTTGCTATAAGCAAATTGTGTAAAAAAAAAAAAAATACTGATCACTTCCCCAAAGTAGTACAATGTTACTATGGTAACATTGTACTACCTTGGTCATAGTAAAATATGAAAAAAAATCTTAAAAAAAATAAAAAAAAAATGTAATAAAAAATTAAAAAAAATTAAAAAAAAATATATATATATATTTTTTTTCATACTGTCACCAGTCAGTGTCCCTGTTAACCGCCATGCCAGTTATATGATGACGCTGTACTGCACTGGTGACAGTATGTATAAAAAAAAAAAATAGTGAAAATAATTTTTTTAATTTTTTCATTTTCCGAAAAATTATGACATAAAAATACAACTTCAAAAAACTCGCCATTCCTCTTATGAAGTACGTCGGACTGTCTACTCTGCAAAAAGGGGTCATTTGGGGATATCTGTACTCTCCTGACATTTGGGGATATCTGTACCCTCCTGACATTTGGGGGATATCTGTACCGTCCTGACATTTGGGGATATCTGTACCGTCCTGACATTTGGGGGATATCTGTACCGTCCTGACATTTGGGGGATATCTGTACCGTCCTGACATTTGGGGGATATCTGTACTCTCCTGACATTTGGGGGGTATCTGTACTCTCCTGACATTTGGGGGGTATCTGTACTCTCCTGACATTTGGGGGGTATCTGTACTCTCCTGACATTTGGGGGGTATCTGTACTCTCCTGACATTTGGGGGGTATCTGTACCGTCCTGACATTTGGGGGATATCTGTACCGTCCTGACATTTGGGGGATATCTGTACCGTCCTGACATTTGGGGGATATCTGTACCGTCCTGACATTTGGGGATATCTGTACTATTCTGACATTCTTGGACCTCAAGAAATGAGATTTTGGCTGTCAGTACTTCAGGATTGATCAATATTCAGATCTATACCATAGTTTGTGAACTCTATAACTTTCCTACAAACTAAATAATACATCCTAATTTGGGTTATTTTCACCAAAGACATGGAGCAGAATACATCTCGGCCTAAATTTATGAAGAACAATTATTTATTTGTAAACTTTTATAACAGAAACAAAGAAAAATGTGTTTTTTTTTTTCAAAATTTTTGGTCTTTTTTTGTTAATTTAGCAAAAAAATAAAAACCCCAGCGGTGATTAAATACCACCAAAAGAAAGCTCTAGTTGTGTGAAGAAAATGATAACATTTTAGTTTGGGTACAGTGTTGTATGACCGCGCAATTGTCATTCAAAGTGTGAGAGCGCTGAAACCTGAAAAATGGCCTGGGCAGGAAGGGGGAAAATTGCCCGGTATTGAAACGGTTAATAGCAAAAAGTCAAAAATAGTTTTTTTTCCCCAAAATTGTCGTTCTTTTTTTTGTTTATAGCGCAAAAATAAAAACCGCGCAGGGGATCCAATACCACCGACAGAAAGCTCTATTTGTGGGAAAAAAATTAAATGTAATTTGGCCGCGGCGTTGCATGACCGTGCAATTGTCAAAGTATTGCAGAAAATGGCCTGGTCAGGAAGGGGGGGGGGGGGGGGGTGTTCTCTGGAGGGGGAGGAGTTAACTGAAGAAGCTGAAGTCAGAAGCCGATGGCTCCCATACAGAGCTGCACCAGATTTCTGAGGGCTTCAGTTTTAGTAACCCCCCCCCCCCCCCCCCCCCCCCCCCCCCCCCCCCCCATTGTGTGTCATCCGCTAGATTCAGGTAGGTGACCCGGTCAGTAGCTCTCAGAGCTCAGGAAGCCACCCCTCCCCCCAACAGTCATCTCATGTCCGCCATCGCGCCATACATACAAATCTGTTCTCTTTGCCCTTCGTCTCGTCGCACGCCTTCAGGAGCGCCTTATCCACGGCGGCCGCTGAGAACTCCACATCCTTCTCCTTCAGGGATTGGTAGAATCGGTTCAGAAACGAGACACAGACTGCAAGACAAGAAGGTGAGGTGGTGTCACCGCGACCAGAAAATACATTGTGGTGTCACCTATAGAGGACATCTGGGGGCCCCATTACTAGACATATGGACGTCACATGTCCCTAAAGTGGACCTCCGCCCCTAACGACAAAGACAATCCCACATTCTGGGTTGTCACCAGAAAAGTAATAGAGGGGGAATTGTCCAATGGGGACACTTCTGGTGACCTGCTGAGAAACGGATTCCCTCCCACTTCCTGTTTGGCTGAGGTACAAAAATATAACTCCCCCCCCCCCCCCGATATAACCCCCCTCCAGCCCGCGTACCCTCCCCCCCACCCCGATATAACCCCCCTCCAGCCCGCGTACCCTCCCCCCCACCCCGATATAACCCCCCTCCAGCCCGCGTATCCTCCCCCCACCCCGAGATAACCCCCCTCCAGCCCGCGTACCCTCCCCCCCACCCCGATATAACCCCCCTCCAGCCCGCGTAACCCCCCCCCACCCCGTATATATAACCCCCCTCCAGCCCGCATATCCTCCCCCCACCCGATATAACCCCCCTCCAGCCCGCATATCCTCCCCCCCCCCCCACCCTGATATAACCCCCCTCCAGCCCACGTACCCTCCCCCCACCCTGATATAACCCCCCTCCAGCCCACGTACCCCCCCCCCCACCCTGATATAACCCCCCTCCAGCCCACGTACCCTCCCCCCACCCTGATATAACCCCCCTCCAGCCCACGTACCCTCCCCCCACCCTGATATAACCCCCCTCCAGCCCACGTACCCTCCCCCCACCCTGATATAACCCCCCTCCAGCCCACGTACCCCCCCCACCCTGATATAACCCCCCTCCAGCCCACGTACCCTCCCCCCTCCCTGATATAACCCCCCTCCAGCCCACATACCCTCCCCCCTCCCTGATATAACCCCCCTCCAGCCCACATACCCTCCCCCACCCTGATATACCCCAAATCACACTCCCCCACCCCAACAACATACCTTCTCAACATGTCCTCCTGCCACCCAGATATAACTCCCCCCCCCCAACATACCCTCATTTACCCCCCCAACACACATGATCTCCCCCCACCCCAACAAAGCCCCTTCACACCCTCCCCCACACCGATATATCCCCCCTTCACCCCTACATATCCCCTTCATACCCCCCCACCCCGATATATCCCCCCTCATACCCTCCCCCACAATCTACCCCCCTCCTTCACACACATCCCCCCATTATGGTATCACTTCTCTCCCCCCCTCTTACCCTCACACTCCCCGGGTCGGAGCGCCTGCCCCGGGTCGCTCAGTAGGGTGAGGAGGAGTCCGGTGACGGTGATTGCTCCCGCTGTCCTCATCATCATCCTCCTCCTTCTTCTTCTTCTTCTTCTTCTCCTCTCAGCCCTGCACAGCCGCCTCTCCTCACCACACCGGCACCGCCGCGTCACCTAGCAACCTCGCCCGCCCCCGCTTACCGCCTATTGGCCGGCCGCGCCGCGTCGCTTCCACGCCGCGTACGGTGATTGGCCAGAGGCCCGTGCCAGTAACACGTCCCCACGCCGCCATTGGTGGAAAGCACGGCCACGTCTCGCGCGGATGGAGGATAGTTGTCGCCCTCTGATTGGCCGACGCTTTTGGCTGCGGGAAATGCGGAAGCCGGGCGCCATGTTGGATTCGGGCAGCTGCTGGCAAAGCCGTTCAAATACGAGCAATGTGTATGTCAGAAGAAACGGCGAAATTATGTTTTAATGAAGGAATTCCTTATGAAAATGGACGTTTTAGTGAAAAACAAACACAATATAACCAGATGAATAATAGCACCATTGTCACCGCTATCCAGAGGCCAAAGAAAGCAAAAACTTCGAGTAGACTTTTTTTAACCACTTTAACCCCCCCCTCCCCCCCAAACCCCATACCCCCCCTCCCCAAAACTCCATACCCCCCCCCAGGCCAATTCTGACACTTCTCCCATATATGTAAAAATCAGCATTTTCCTGCTAGAAAATGATTTAAACCCCCAAACATGATATACTATATTGCCCCAAGTATTGTCCCCGCCCCCCATATATACACCATACTGCCCCAAGTATTGTCCCCCGCCCCCCATATATACACCATACTGCCCCAAGTATTGTCCCCGCCCCCCCATATATACACCATACTGCCCCAAGTATTGTCCCCGCCCCCCATATATACACCATACTGCCCCAAGTATTGTCCCCCGCCCCCCATATATACACCATACTGCCCCAAGTATTGTCCCCCCCCCCATATATACACCATACTGCCCCAAGTATTGTCCCCGCCCCCCCATATATACACCATACTGCCCCAAGTATTGTCCCCGCCCCCCATATATACACCATACTGCCCCAAGTATTGTCCCCGCCCCCCCCCCCACCATATATACACCATACTGCCCCAAGTATTGTCCCCGCCCCCCCGTATATACACCATACTGCCCCAAGTATTGTCCCCGCCCCCCGTATATACACCATACTGCCCCAAGTATTGTCCCCGCCCCCCGTATATACACCATACTGCCCCAAGTATTGTCCCCGCCCCCCCCATATATACACCATACTCCCCCAAGTATTGTCCCCCCCCCCCCCATATATACACCATACTGCCCCAAGTATTGTCCCCGCCCCCCATATATACACCATACTGCCCCAAGTATTGTCCCCCCCCCCCCATATATACACCATACTGCCCCAAGTATTGTCCCCAGCCCCCCATATATACACCATACTGCCCCCAAGTATTGTCCCCGCCCCCCCCATATATACACCATACTGCCCCAAGTATTGTCCCCGCCCCCCCCGCATATATACACCATACTGCCCCAAGTATTGTCCCCCCCCCCCGTATATACACCATACTGCCCCAAGTATTGTCCCCGCCCCCCGTATATACACCATACTGCCCCAAGTATTGTCCCCCGCCCCCCATATATACACCATACTGCCCCAAGTATTGTCCCCACCCCCCATATATACACCATACTGCCCCAAGTATTGTCCCCGCCCCCCATATATACACCATACTGCCCCAAGTATTGTCCCCCCCCCCATATATACACCATACTGCCCCAAGTATTGTCCCCGCCCCCCCATATATACACCATACTGCCCCAAGTATTGTCCCCGCCCCCCCCGTATATACACCATACTGCCCCAAGTATTGTCCCCCCCCCCCCGTATATACACCATACTGCCCCAAGTATTGTCCCCCCCCCCCCGTATATACACCATACTGCCCCAAGTATTGTCCCCCCCCCCCCCGTATATACACCATACTGCCCCAAGTATTGTCCCCCCCCCCCCCCTATATACACCATACTGCCCCAAGTATTGTCCCCGCCCCCCATATATACACCATACTGCCCCAAGTATTGTCCCCCCCCCCCATATATACCCCCACGTATATACACCATACTGCCCCAAGTATTGTCCCCCCCCCCCTTATATACACCATACTGCCCCAAGTATTGTCCCCGCCCCCCGTATATACACCATACTGCCCCAAGTATTGTCCCCCCCCCCCCCTATATACACCATACTGCCCCAAGTATTGTCCCCGCCCCCCCGTATATACACCATACTGCCCCAAGTATTGTCCCCCCCCCATATATACACCATACTGCCCCAAGTATTGTCCCCGCCCCCCGTATATGCACCATACTGCCCCAAGTATTGTCCCCGCCCCCCCCGTATATACACCATACTGCCCCAAGTATTGTCCCCCCCCCCGTATATACACCATACTGCCCCAAGTATTGTCCCCGCCCCCCCCCCCCGTATATACACCATACTGCCCCAAGTATTGTCCCCGCCCCCCATATATACACCCATACTGCCCCAAGTATTGCCCCCCCCCCCCCGTATATACACCATACTGCCCCAAGTATTGTCCCCGCCCCCCCGTATATACACCATACTGCCCCAAGTATTGTCCCCCCCCCCCATATATACATACACCATACTGCCCCAAGTATTGTCCCCGCCCCCCCATATATACACCATACTGCCCCAAGTATTGTCCCCGCCCCCCATATATACACCATACTGCCCCAAGTATTGTCCCCGCCCCCCCCCGTATATACACCATACTGCCCCAAGTATTGTCCCCGCCCCCCATATATACACCATACTGCCCCAAGTATTGTCCCCGCCCCCCATATATACACCATACTGCCCCAAGTATTGTCCCCGCCCCCCCCCATATATACACCATACTGCCCCAAGTATTGTCCCCCCCCCCATATATACACCATACTGCCCCAAGTATTGTCCCCCCCCCCCCCCATATATACACGATATTGCCCCCCCCCCCCCGTATATACACCATACTGCCCCAAGTATTGTCCCCGCCCCCCCCCGTATATACACCATACTGCCCCAAGTATTGTCCCGCCCCCCCCGCATATACACCATACTGCCCCAAGTATTGTCCCCCGCCCCCACCAATATACACGATATTGCCCCCCGCCCCCCCGTATATACACCATACTGCCCCAAGTATTGTCCCCGCCCCCCCGTATATACACCATACTGCCCCAAGTATTGTCCCCGCCCCCCCCCTTATATACACCATACTGCCCCAAGTATTGTCCCCGCCCCCCATATATACACCATACTGCCCCAAGTATTGTCCCCGCCCCCTTATATACACCATACTGCCCCAAGTATTGTCCCCGCCCCCCGTATATACACCATACTGCCCCAAGTATTGTCCCCCGCCCCCCCGTATATACACCATACTGCCCCAAGTATTGTCCCCAAGCCCCCCCCCCATATATACACCATACTGCCCCAAGTATTGTCCCCCCCCCCCCCCATATATACACCATACTGCCCCAAGTATTGTCCCCCCCCCCCGCATATACACCCATACTGCCCCAAGTATTGTCTCCCCCCCCGTATATACACCATACTGCCCCAAGTATTGTCCCCGCCCCCCTATATACACCATACTGCCCCAAGTATTGTCCCCCCCCCCCCGTATATACACCATACTGCCCCAAGTATTGTCCCCGCCCCCCCCCATATATACACCATACTGCCCCAAGTATTGTCCCCGCCCCCCGTATATACACCATACTGCCCCAAGTATTGTCCCCGCCCCCCCCATATATACACCATACTGCCCAAGTATTGTCCCCGCCCCCCCATATATACACCATACTGCCCCAAGTATTGTCCCCGCCCCCCCGTATATACACCATACTGCCCCAAGTATTGTCCCCCCCCCCATATCTACACCATACCACCCTAAGTATTGTCCCCCGCCCCCCCCCGTATATACACCATACTGCCCCAAGTATTGTCCCCGTCCCCCATATATACACCATACTGCCCCAAGTATTGTCCCCGCCCCCCGTATATACACCATACTGCCACAAGTATTGTCCCCGCCCCCCCCCATATATACACCATACTGCCCCAAGTATTGTCCCCGCCCCCCGTATATACACCTACTGCCCCAAGTATTGTCCCCGTCCCCCATATCTACACCATACTGCCCCAAGTATTGTCCCCGTCCCCCGTATATGCACCATACTGCCCCAAGTATTGTCCCCGCCCCCCGTATATGCACCATACTGCCCCAAGTATTGTCCCCCCCCCCCGTATATGCACCATACTGCTCCAAGTATTGTCCCCCCCCCCCCCGTATATGCACCATACTGCCCCAAGTATTGTCCCCGCCCCCGTATATGCACCATACTGCCCCAAGTATTGTCCCCGCCCCCCATATATACACCATACTGCCCCAAGTATTGTCCCCGCCCCCCCCCATATATACACCATACTGCCCCAAGTATTGTCCCCGCCCCCCGTACATGCACCATACTGCCCCAAGTATTGGGCCGCTGGCCTTTCCACCCACATGACCTTTATTGGCCCCCCAGTCTTAGTCCGTAGGGTTCAATATTGAGTTGGCTCCACCCTTTCCACACACATGACCTTTAATGGCCCCCCCGTCTTAGTCCGTAGGGTTCAATATTGAGTTGGCCCCGCCCTTTGCAGCTATAACAGCTTCAACTCTTCTGGGAAGGCCGTCCACAAGGTTTAGGAGGGTGTCTATGGGAAGGTTGGACCATTCTTCCAGAAGCACATTTGTCAGGTCAGCCACTGATGTCGGGGGAGGAGGCCTGGCTCGCAGTCTCCGCTCTAATTCATCCCAAAGGTGTTCTATGGGGTTGAGGTCAGGACTCTGTGCAGGACAGTCAAGTTCCTCCACCCCAAACTGGCTCCTCCATGTCTTTATGGACCTTGCTTTGTGCACTGGTGGGCAGTCATGTTGGTATTTCAAAAACTGCTGATCTCCTGGGATTTTCCCGCACAGCCATCTCTAGGGATTACAGAGAATGGTCCGAAAAAGAGAAAATATCCAGTGAGCATCAGTTGTGTGGAGGAACATTCAGATGGTAGGGTCAGAATTTGGCAAAAACAACACAAAAGCATGGATCCATCCTGCCATGTATCAAGGGTGCAGGCTGGTGGTGGTGGTGTCATGGTGTGGTGGATCCATCCTACCTTGTATCAACAGTTCTGGCTGGTGGTGGTGGTGTCATGGTGTGGGGGATCCATCCTGCCTTGTATCAATGGTTCAGGCTGGTGGTGGTGTCATGGTGTGGTGGATGCATCCTGTCTTGTATCAACGGTTCAGGCTAGTGGTGGTGGTGTCATGGTGTGGGGGATCCATCCCGCCTTGTATCAATGGTTCAGGGTGGTGGTGGTGTCATGGTGTGGTGGATCCATCCTGCCTTGTATCAACGGTTCAGGCTGGTGGTGGTGGTGTCATGGTGTGGTGGATTCATCCTGCCTTGTATCAAGGGTTCAGGCTGGTGGTGTCATGGTGTGGTGGATCCATTCTGCCTTGTATCAATGGTTCAGGCTGGTGGTGGTGTCATGGTGTGGTGGATCCATCCTGTCTTGTAGCAACGGTTCAGGCTGGTGGTGGTGGTGTCATGATGTGGTAGATCCCATCCTGCCTTGTATCAACGGTTCAGGTTGGTGGTGGTGGTGTCATGGTGTGGTAGATCCATCCTGCCTTGTATCTATGGTTCAGGCTGGTGGTGGTGTCATGGTGTGGTAGATCCATCCTGCCTTGTATCAATGGTTCAGGCTGGTGGTGTCATGGTGTGGTAGATCCATCCTGCCTTGTATCAATGGTTCAGGCTGGTGGTGTCATGGTGTGGTAGATCCATTCTGCCTTGTATCTATGGTTCAGACTGGTGGGGGTGGTGGTGGTGTCATGGTGTGGGTGAGAATTTCTTGGCACTAGCAAGGTGGACCTAATAAAGTGGCCGGCGAGTGCACATCCAACTCAGAATCCAGAAATTGCGTGATGCAGGTTTTTGAGTTCCAGAGTCTACGGCTCATCTTCTCATTAGTCCCTCCAAAATATTCCGGTTTTAGTTTCCGACTTTCACAAGTTTCCGGTTTTTCAAGATTTTGCTGCAACCTGTTTGGTCGCTGTGAGTCACGGATTTGGATTGGTAAGTCGTCTCTTCCGGTCTCTCATTTAGCAGAGCCTCATAGGGATTCTTTTGGATCAGGACATGGAGTGTTCCTAGAGGGTTTGCAGGCCATGGTGTCCAGTCCAGAGGAAATGTCCGCCATACTTGTACGAAGGTGTCCAAGATGCTCCAACCATGGAAGCAGCATGGAGAAAATCCCGTAATCGTGCTGTATGGGGAGGGGCACCCAATCATCTTTCATCATTCATCTCCACAGGAAGGACATGCTGGGAGCACGATGAGCTCGTCTTCCATATTTGAACCCCGTTGTTGGTTCCTAATTTGGATCCCAATTCAAATTTTCACGTTTGTGTACAAATAATGGAATGATTGGGTAACATAGTATATAGAAGTGGTGACCCCTGGGGCATGTGGATTCTCAGTACAATGGTCCAAAGGTCACAGCGTCATATGCAGGCCATAGACGGGTCGAAAACCAGATGTTTTAACCACTTGCCTACCGGGCACTTATACCCCCTTCCTTACCAGGCCAATTTTCAGCTTTCAGCGCTGCCGCACTTTGATTGACAATTGCGCGGTCATGCAACATTGTACCCATATGAAATTTTGATCATTTTTTTCTCACAAATAAAGCTTTCTTTTGGTGGTATTTAATCGCCACTGGGCACTTTACTTTTTGTGCTATAAATTAAAAATGTAAAAAATTTGAAAAAAAAAAAAAAGTTTCTTTATTTCTATTATAAAATTTTTCAAACAGGTAATTTTTCTCCTTCACTGATGTGCGTTGATGAGGCAGCACTGATGGGCACTGATAGGCGGCACTGATGGGCACTGATAGGCAGCACTAAAGGGCACTGATAGGCAGCACTAATGAGGTGGCACGGATAGGCGGCACTGATAGGCAGCACTAATGAGGTGTCACGGATAGGCGGCACTAATATGCAGCACTGATAGGCGGCACTGATAGATGACACTGATGATGGGTACTGATAGATGGCACTGACTGGCATCACTGCTGGGCACTGACTGGCGGCACTGACTGGCACAACCGCTGGGCACTGACTGGTGGCACTGACTGGCAGCACTGCTGGGCTGCACTGGTGGGTAGCACTGGTGGGTGGGCACAAGTGGGTGGCACAGGTGGGTGGCACTGGTGGGCACAGGTGGGTGGCACTGCTGGGCACAGGTAGGTGGCACTTCTGGGCACAGGTGTGTGACACTGCAGAGTGGCACAGGTGGGTGCACTGCTGGACACAGGTGGGCGGAGCTAGTGGGCGCACTGCTGGGCGGAACTTGTGGGTGGCACTGCTGGGCACCGATCATCAGGGCACTGATCATCAGTGCCCTGATGATCGGTGCCGATCCTCGCTCTGACAACTGCCGGTTCTCGGCAGTACTTTCCTCACGATCTGACAGCTTGAGGAAAGTGCAGCCTAGAACCGGCACTTGCATTTCCCTGTGATCAGCGTGTCATTGGACACCGCTGATCACGTGGTAAAAGGCCGGTATGATTGGCCTTTTAGCACATCTCGTGATCAGCTGTGTCCGTAGGACACAGCGATCACAGAGATCCCCTGGGGCGCGCAGGAGAGCGCGTTCTGGGGGGACGTCATATGACGTCCACCCAGAACTGGCCGGCCGCAGTGAAGCCGTCATTCGGCTATCTGCGGTCGGCAACTAGTTAAAATAAACAAAACGAAAAATCGGTCGTTCAGTAGGCCGACGTTACCACCAATGGTAAAAAAAAATTGGCCGATTTTTGTCCCGTCTACAGCCGGCATTTAATTACTTTCGTCCCTGCAGAGAGCTCCGCTATTATATTTGACATGAAAAAGTATTGTGGTTGCAACAATGTATCTATTTGTATCGATTTCGGATACAGATGGTTTTATTCGGATACAAATAGATACATTGTTGCAACCGCAAGACTTTTCATGTCAAATATAATAGCGGACTGGAATTCTTCTTTTTCTTCTTCTTCTTCTTTTTCTTCTCCTTTTTTTCTTCTTCTTTTTTCTTCTTTTTTTTCTTCTTCTTCTTGCAGGTCACGGCTCATGCGCAGATTTTTTTATCAGTAAAATGATCGGCCGATTTGCCCATCATGAAAAAAAATGTGCCAAACCCCCGAAAAACGGCCGACCAATTAACTCACTGACGGTGCGCAAATCTGCCGCTTTTCATCCCGTCTATGGCCTGCAATACCCTGGAGTGGTTTTTTTTTTTTCTTCTTTTACATATAGGGGTGCATAAAAAAAAATGTAGCTATTCATGGAAACTCATTCTGTGCCAAAAGGGGGCGACATCCAATGTTCTCTGCAGACGGAATGTTAGTTATTAAAAAAAAATAAAAAATGGGGAAAATACTGCATTATGGTCACTAGATGGAGCCGAGGGAACTTCCTGTTTCCTATGATACTCAGCACCACCTAGTGACCATTCTGTGCTACTTTCCATATTCACACAGGTTTGTTTTTTTTTTAGACGTGCCAAACGCAAAAAAATTGTTTTATTTCGATTCATTATTTGACTCATTTTGGTCCGTTTGATTTATTTAATTCATTTTCAGAATTCATTTCCTTTATTCGGATTTGGATTCGACCGAATTCGAAATTTCAAACTGATCTGATAATAGCCTCTAACGTTACAATCCGCCATCCGCAGGTGTTCTTCATGTTATTATGGGCTACAGCATATGAAGAGTTGTGCGACCATATCGGAAATTTACCTTTTTCTCACCAAAATTTTCACAGTGCCTTTGCTGATCACTAGTCACGTCGCCATAATCACAATTTTTATTGTTTTGTAAAGTAATTTATTCTTTTAGATTTTATTATTTTATATTCTGTTATAATGTATTCTTTATGCTTTAAGATTTTTTCTATTCTAATGCATTCTTTACACTTTAAGATTTTTTTTCTATTCTATTCTTTTCTATTCTATTCTAGTGCATTCTTTATGCTTTTAGATGGTTTTTATTCTATTCTATTCTATTCTAATGCATTTTTTTATGCTTGAAGATTTTTTTCTATTCTATTCTATTCTAATGCATTCTTTACTCTTTAAGATTTTTTTCTATTCTATTCTAATGCATTCTTCATGCTTTAAGATTTTTTTCTATTCTATTCTAATGCATTCTTTATGCTTTAAGATTTTGTTCTATTCTATTCTATTCTAATGCATTCTTTATGCTTTAAGATTTTTTTCTATTCTATTCTAATGCATTCTTTATGCTTTAAGATTTTTTTCTATTCTATTCTTTTCTATTCTATTCTAATGCATTCTTTATGTTTTAAGATTTTTTCTATTCTATTCTTTTCTATTCTAATACATTCTGTATGCTTTAAGATTTTTCTCTATTCTATTCTATTCTATTCTAATGCATTCTTTATGCTTTAACATTTTTTTCTATTCTATTTTTTTCTATTCTAATGTATTCTTTATGCTTTAAGATTTTTTCTATTCTATTCTATTCTATTCTAATGCATTCTTTATGCTTTAAGAATTTTAAATAGGCTGACTGCCAGGCTCAGCAGGATTTTGTCTCTATAGAGGACTTCCTCTGTGCATTGTGCCCCCCCGGGGGTGGTAAATAAAGGCTGACGTACACTTTAGTGTCCAGGGTGGTAAACTTTATTTTCATATAACAACCATCTGAAGGAAAAAAAAAATCACAACAGAAACGGTGAATCTTATTTACACAGAAACTGGACGTCACGCCGTGTGCGAGGAACATGCGGACACCGTATATATACAAACACACACCCTGCGGAAAGCTGACCATTGGGGACACAACACAGCACCGCTGGAGGGTATAGTATATGAACACACAGGACGAGGGCGCCCCCCCATGGCGGATCACCATTCCTCGCTACCCTCGGAGACATCAAGAGGTGACACCCAGCGGTGACAGGGCGGACGGGTATGCCACAATGTTCCCAAATGTCGGGGGTGGGGGCAAGAAGACAAGCTGAGAATTACAAAGAGTGGTGGTGATTGGAGGGGAGAAGGCAGGAAGAGGAGGAGGAGGATCAGGCTGAGGATGAAGAGAAGGAGGAGGATGAGGAAGAAGAGAGGTGGATGAGAAGCAGAAGGAAGATGAGGATGATGATGAGGAGGAGGAGGATCAGGCTGAGGATGAAGAGAAGGAGGAGGAAGAGGTGGATGAGAAGCAGGAGGAAGATGATGATGATGAGGAGGAGGATCAGGCTGAGGATGAAGAGAAGGAGGAGGAAGAGGTGGATGAGAAGCAGGAGGAAGATGAAGAGGAGGAGGAGGAGGACCAGGCTGAGGATGAAGAGAAGGAGGAGGAAGAGGAAAAAGAGGTGGATGAGAAGCAGGAGGAAGATGAGGAAGATGAAGAGGAGGAGGAGGATCAGGCTGAGGATGAAGAGAAGGAGGAGGAGGAGGAAGAAGAGGTGAATGAGATGCAGGAGGAAGATGAGGATGATGATGAGGAGGAGGAGGATCAGGCTGAGGATGAAGAGAAGGAGGAGGAAGAGGAAAAAGAGGTGGATGAGAAGCAGGAGGAAGATGAAGAGGATCAGGCTGAGGATGAAGAGGAGGAGGAGGAAGAGGTAGATGAGAAGCAGGAGGAAGATGAGGATGATGATGATGATGATGAGGATCAGGCTGAGGATGAAGAGAAGGAGGAGGAAGAGGTGGATGAGAAGCAGGAAGAAGATGAAGAGGAGGAGGAGGAACAGGCTGAGGATTAAGAGGAGGAGGAAAAAGAGGTGGATGAGAAGCAGGAGGAAGATGAGGAAGATGAAGAGGAGGAGGAGGATCAGGCTAAGGATGAAGAGAAGGAGGAGGAAGAGGAAGAAGAGGTGGATGAGAAGCAGGAGGAAGATGAAGAGGAGGAGGATCATGCTGAGGATGAAGAGAAGGATGAGGAAGAAGAGGTGGATGAGAAGCAGGAGGAGGAAGATGAGGAGGATTAAGAGGAGAAGGAAGATAAAGAATGATGTTGAGGATGAGGATGCGGAGGAGCTGGATGAAGAGAGGGATGAAAGGGAGGAGGCTGATAATTAAGTGGAGGATGAGGATGAAGAGGAGGAGGAGGATGTAGATGAGGAGGCTGAGAATTAAGAGGAAGATAAGGAGAATGATCATGAAGAGAAGGATGATGGGGATGTGGCTGAGGAGGAGGTGGCTGAGGATGAAGAGGAGGATGATGAGGATGTGGATGAGAAGCAGGAGGAGGCTGAGAATGAAGAGGAAGATGAGGAGAAGGAGGATGAGGATGAAAAAGAGAATGATGAGGATGTGGATGAGGAAGATGAGGAACATGAAGAGGATAAAGAGGAGGCTATTGAGGAGGAGGATGAAGATGTGGATGAGGAGGAGGAGGAGGCTGAGAATGAAGAGGAAGATGAGGAGAAGGAGGAGGAGGATGAAAATGAGGATGATGAGGATGTGGATGAGGAACATGAAGAGGATAAAGAGGAGGATACTGAGGAGGAGGATGAAGATGTGGATGAGGAGGCTGAAAATGAGGAGGAGGATGAAGAGGATGATGAGGAGGAGGATAAGGAGGAGCATGAGGAGGAGGCACAAGAAGAGAAACCATCATAGAAAATAGGTGTCCTCATTCACTTCCACATAACCTGACACCCTAATACACAGATATCAGGACCCACGTATCCCCCCCCTCCTCCTCATACACAGACATGTCCTCCTCCTCTTCTGGTTGCCCCTGTTCTCCACCATTTCAGTCCATGCCTAAGGTTTGCCCATGTTGTGCTCCCACCCGACCCGTGCCGGTGGTTCTTTGCCCATGTGGCAGTTCCTCCGGGTTCTTCTCAGCCGCTCCTGCTCCGAGCTCTCCTCCTCTTGATCCCCATTAGGTGAGCGTGGAGGGGTCACCCCAGTAGGGGCAGAGTGGCTCCGGCACGGCTGGGTCTTGGGTGCTTCCAGCCCATTGGGGTCGGAGAGGCTGTACCGAACGGGAGGGTAGTGCTGGAAACATCCACTCTGGTCTTCCTCTGTCCGGGGATCTGCGCTGGTTGCAGCATCGGGGCAGTTGGAGAAGTTGCCTTCGCTGAGGGAGGAGACACCGCTGCTGGCGCTGCCTGAGAGCGGCGAGTTACTGCCATCCAAGCAGGACTGCGGGCTGGTGGGCGAGGCGGGAATTGTGTGCAAAGGGCTCTGTGGAGAGAAAAGCACCTGATAAGACCCATACACCCCATCACAAGACCCCTACACACTACCATGGGACCCCTACACCCCACCATATGACCCCTACACACTACCATAGGGCCCCTACACCCCACCAAAAGACACATACACACTACCATAGGACCCCTACACCCCAACATATGACCCCTACACACTACCATAGGACCCCTACACCCCATCACAAGACTCCTACACACTACCATAGGACCCCTACACACTACCATAGGACCCCTACACCCCAACATATGACCCCTACACACTACCATAGGGCCC